CAATGGCCCAAGGACACAACGACCGAGACTGTCCAAGCCCGGGCTCGAACCGGCAACCTTCCGATTACAAGGCGAACTCCCAACTCTTGAGCGACAATCGCCCCCCCAGATGTCGGGTATTGAGGTTGGAGGAATTGTCTTGTCACTTGAACAATCTGGAGCAACATTAGAAATGTCTTTAAAAATTTCTGCCTTTATCCCTGTTTTAAACAGTTACTGCGTCTCCCCTCTTTGTCTTAAGAACAATGTTCTTAAGGCCAACTTTTATGGGCCACCTTTTTCTTCAAAGGTGGCCCATAAAAGTATCTTCTAGCATTAGGTCAGTCTTGGTCAAACATAATCATAGGGAATGTTTCCACTACATGTTTGACAAAGTCAATAGAGAGCAGAAGAAGAGCTGGAGGAAACCAGTAGGCCAATAAGAAAAAAGCAGAGGACTTTGGACCAGGCTGCTGTGCGGTAAAGACGCTGCTATGGTGATGATAGAATGGTTGCTAGGTGGTTACCCAGTAACTGTGGAGGACCTGTGTCTGTCCACCGGTTTGAACCATCTGACAGGTAATGGTTAACACACAATCAATGCTTTAGTCTGTCTGCTGCTTAGTTCAGCTTTAAATAAATATGAAACTTTATCCGATCAGATTTATAGCAGTGATAATAATGAAAAAAAGAATCAAAGTTTTCTCTTTTTCTGCTTGATGGATTTTTATTGCTTTAAATGTCTTTTAGTGAGGTCCGCGCTTAGAGTTTTATTGCATTTTAAATGCAGAAGGTGTACTATGTTTACCTGACATGTTCACAGGACGCAGAAGCGACCGAAATGAATGAATCTTCTCTTTGGAGCAAAGCTCACAAACAGCACAGAAACTCACTGTTGAATAATCATCAATATTCCATACTGCCAGGTGTGTGTGGGCGTCTGTGCGTGTATGTAGAAGGTCAGATTGCCTTATTCATGCAAAAAACGCACACAATAGTATCCAGTATCCAGGCCACACTTGAATTAATAAACAGAGAAGTAAACAGACAACAAAGATTCATTAGAACACATAACAACAAAGAAGAAGTTCACCCCTTAAAAAAAAGAAATGAAGAAATTATAGAGAATAAAATTATCGCACAACTCTAGAAACAAGACAAACAGCTCTGCAAGAGCAGAACTGCATTCAGCTTTAATGTAGTTAAAATGCATTTGAAAATAATATGATGGTCATAAATAAGCAAACTGAAGGCCGCTCCATATTTACACATGACACCAAGAGGAAGAAGACTGGTTTTTAGAAACATGTTGCGACATAAAGCAGAAGCACCACAGGAAGTAGCTGCAGAACAAACATCCAATCACAGTCAGTCCCCTACACTATTTTTTTTTTAAAGTTTTTTTCTTTCTCATTCTTTTGGCAGGTGTGACTCAAACTGTCATAACTCAACGTGTTCCCACATGACGTTCAAAGTAACAGCAGATTCCTGCTGGAGGCGTAGCTGAAAAATTCTTGACATTTTTAAAAACTTTAGATAGGGAAACTTTACTTCTGATGCATCTCAATACACAAAAAGTAACAGTATGAATACAGCAATGCAAAAATGCAATCACAAGCGATCACTGCACAAACGGGCAATGTTTACAGTGTTTCCAGGGGCAGGAGGAATATCTTGTGCCAGTTAAAGCATAGGCCGCGTTTTTAGAATCACTTCGACATGTATGTTTATACAAACAATAACTCAGCATGGCATTACAGTTGGGAACAGTATAGTTATAAATACTCAGACTCTATTTATTCATCTTTGAAGCTTGAGCAAGATCCTCAAAGTGTCATCACATGCCACCTGAAGCATTTGCTTTTAACACAAATACAGCAAGCTCTAAAAACAGGTGTTTTAAAGTGCTCGTGCATTGCACATCATCATCATCATCATTATTACAAAGCTCATTCCTGATTATGTGACCCAAATATTTGACTTTAGTCTCCATGAGAGAGAAAAAAACGTGCTCTAAGGATCATTAATAACCATCCATCCAGCATCATGCTTGTTTCATGTTTGTTAGAAAGGTCATCAATATACAAATTGATGAGAACAGGTGACAATGCCCCACCTGGTCGGACCCTAATGGTTACTAAAATGGGCGTAGGTGTGCTCCATCTGATCTGTATAGTTTAATGCAAATAATCTAGGATCCTTATCACGTGTGAGGGGACGTGTTAGAACTTGAAAACAGGCAGCAACAAAGCCTCTCAGTGCAGATCAGCTGCACTGCAATAGTGTTCGGTTTCCATCTGGTGCTCATATGTTGGTACTGCAGATTAAAAAGTTCAAATATTTCTTTGAATTCTTCAGAATATCTATGAATTATAAAAACAAGAAGTGAACATTTAGCCTCTACACTGACTTTTATACAAAAAAAATCTAAACACTTGAGAAGTATCTGAATTGATTTCTCATCAATCTGATCTTGAGCCAAGTCTAATTATTGACAAATGCTTTCTGATTAAAGTGTACTTCTCATAGCTCTTTTTCACCACACTAAGTGATCAGTCACAGCACCAGCTGGGTAATATAAGGAAATGCTTATATTCAGGTCATGTCACAGAAATAGTTAAAGCAAAATTCTTCCAGTAAAGTCTGGAAAATCTGCTTTTTCTCCTTCTTTCAGTCATTCTGTTGCTGGTTGCGTACATGGTTTGGGTCCTTGTCTTGTTTCATGACCCAAATCTCATGTCATAAAACTGCCACCTTGAAATTATCCTGATATTTTGCACGTTTACTCAGTGGATGCAAGGTGTTCATGTCAGAAGGAGCAGCCCAAAGTCACAGTTAAGAAAAGTTGTATTTTTCTTCTGGATACATAAACCAAAGTCTTAGGAAGTTAGAAAGAATTATTCAGGTGTTTTTGCTATTAGCCTTTTAAAAAATTGAGATGAAGTTGTCAGCTGATTAATTAAAATAAAAGCACTTTGTTTTGATTTAAATGTTCACAGTTATTAAGCTAAAATAATACAAATTTTACTGGTATCACCAACGGGTTTTCTCTCTGTTGGAGTGTTTGTCAGCTGGCAACCCCGAAGGGTCACGACAGCAGGTAGCTCTCCATGTTTGATTTGGCAGGGTTATACACCAGGTGCACTTATTAATGCACCCTCAAAGGTGAGTGCTATCTTGAGATGGAATCGAACCAGCAACCTTTCAATTGCTGCTACACATCTACAGTGAACTAAAACTACATTTCAGACTAAACCTGGGGGGAAAAAATCAATAGCGATTAGACTGCATAACACTTTGGAGGGCAAAGCAAGACATATGAGAAAGCAATGGGGATATTTTTAATTAAAAAATTTTATATATATATATATATATATATATATATGTGTGTGTGTGTGTGTGTGTGTGTGTGTACTAAAACAAGGCATTTGATTCTTGTAACCTCACTGGATTCTAGCTGATATTACATTATGTGTGCAGTCAGTAAATATTAAAGACAACAGTAGCCAGACGACAACAAGCTAGGATATGTGAAGAAAAAGGGGGTCCGGCAGGGGTCGCTGTTCCTCCGCCGTACCCTTCTGAGGACACACCTCCTTCCTCCTGCCCTCCCCGTCGCCGTCCTCCTCCTCCTCGCACGCTACTTGTCACTGCTTCAGCAGGTTTCAGGAAGCGGAAGCGGGAATGTTGGAGTGTTTATTAGAAAAGTTTGGTCAACTTTGACACTTTGGGATTTGAGGCGCAAACTGCGGAGGAACATGAAGGTGAGTGACCGGGGCGCTCACGGCGCCGCTGCCCACTGCTCTGCGGCTGTTTGAGAGTTTTGGTGAGGCTGCTGTCAGCCCTGTCCTTCGTGTCATAACAGAGCAGGAACGAGTGAACGGGATCAGAAAGGGGGCTTGAGTTTACAGCAGGAGAAGAAAGTTTGCTGACGATTTAGAAGAGAGGCTGCGCAGGCTTGAAAAGTGAGTTTAAAGTCGGTTGGATGGTGTTCAAACCGCACATATCTGAAGAAAAGTGACCCTTCAGTGGGTTACAGATAGGTCTTCATCTGTGCGTGCGTGCGTGCGTGAGTGTGTTGCAAACTGTGGCGTGTTAAAAAATGCTTATTGACTAACAAGCTGTCGGGCTGTGCAGTGAATTGCGGGCTCTGAAATGCTGCTGCTGCTGTTCGTGATCACTTAAAGGTGTACCTAATCCACATAGCTGAATGCAGGGTTACATTTCTGAAGGAAACTTTAGCATCAGATGATTTTATTAGTCAGCCTGCAGGGAGCTGATCAATAAGTTTTAGTTTCGGGTGTGTTTTTGAACCTTGGGAAATGCAATCAGTCTAAAATCAAAATAACAGAATTCACTATGACACGACACAGCAGAAAAGTTTACCAACTGATCATCAGCCTCCTTGTTGAAGGCTTATCTATGAAAAGTTCCTTTTTGTTTAGTTAAACCAAAATGATCTTTGGTTTACCTACTTACTTTTTTGCAATATATAAAAAAACCAAGCTTATCTTTTTCTACTAATAATCATTTTAATGTTAATAACTTCAGGGTTTGTTTGTAAAAATGTATCTTGTGTTTTTAAATGTCCACATTACTATAAATGATGTTGGTCAGGCTAATATAGTAACTTATTAATAAATAGTAGTAATAATGTTGAAAAGACCAAACCTCACCATCATGCTCTTCAGGTTGAAATATGTGATTTAGTTTAGAAAATGGAAATGCTTTCACAGTTATGTAAAAGTACCAAAGCTACAAGTGGTGGAAGCTTCCTGAGTAAAGGATTTTTAAGTGCCAAAACTAGAGATGTCTAAAGCAGGCAAAGTACCTGTGGCGGTATGACGTGCTATTATTAGCAGTGATGCATTCATGTTTAAACACATTATGCTCCAACTCAGGTGGTTAAGTTGGAGCTGGTTTCTGTTCTGGTTCTGCATTGTTGAATGTCAGTCTGCTGGTTAATATCCAAATGCATTCACCGATTGCTTGGTAACATGTAAGAAATGGCAGTTTCTCACCTGCACTGCATTAAACCTTGAAATTATTCAGTAAATCTATTTCAGGGCAAGCAGTAAATCCCCGATTTATAAAATGTTTGATATTTTTGCATGAAAATGACCACAGTCATCATTTTTTAAAAGTATATATTAAAACTATTGTGAAGTTTGTATTCAGTATTTGAATTTACATTAAAACTAGTGTTAAATATAGTGAAGTAATTACAGAATATGTCTATGAAATCCAAGTGCTCAACTGTCCCCTGTACAGATATGTCAATTTGAACATGGCGACTTTATTTGTCGCCTCACATGCTTCACGAGCGTTCCACAGAGTAATGCTTCTGTTATCATTACGCTGTGTACGCTGACCACACCGATCCTGGAAAAAGTGGAGGCTTGTGTTGCGTTTTGCAGTTCGACCTCTGAGTCTGGCTTCTGTCAGAGTCGACAGGTTAACTTAACACTGAGGCCCGATATTCCTGCAGTCAGTGGGTCATCCTCTTCTCTCAGAGATGACTAGTTTACTTTCAGATAAAACAGAAAAGCCAGAAAAAGTTGATATTTTAAACGGATTATTGGACAACCAAGATTTACCCTTGCTGAAATGTAATACAACTCAAAGAGGAGTCATTTCTTAAAGCTAAATGTGTCTTTTTTCCTTTCTCCAATAATAAATTTACGTATATTATTCAGTCACCTGCATTGTTTTGATTTCCAGAACGTCCATTTCCAGGGCCAGCTCAGATCTTGTAATACCCTAAAATAATATTAACTGAAATGACTTTTATTATAGAGATAATAAATCCCAGAATAACTTAATTATATTTTTAAAGTATTTTTAAGTGTTTTAAGTATTTCATTAGTTCCTCATTCACAGTTTTCCTGTGCTTGAGTCATTTTTTAAAACATAAAATTCCTGTTCAAAACTAGATCTTGAAGACTAGATATTAATATCTGCGCTGCAGTCACTTCTCAACAGTGAAGCAGATGCGAAAGAAGTGTCGTATTTAAACTCGACATAGAGCTGAAATAAAGCCATTTGAATGATTTCGTTATTAATTGATAATGCTGTTTTGTAAGCAGAATGACCAGATGATTCTCACTTATGGTCGTCCTCTGCTTTTCTTTGTTTTATGTGTTGACCAAAAAAATCTTTAGTTTGGACAAAGGGAGAAATGAAGTGTAAATGTTAATAAGTAGTAATAACATCTCTTTGTACGGCACTTCTCGAAACCAGTGTTACAAAGGGCTTCACAGAAACACGGAATAAAAAAAAAAAACAAGGTGGGAGGAAATTATAAAAAGGATTTGCATCTAAATTCAGATGGGACAGTCAAGACATCAAAATGTAAATAAGATACAGTGTGATTCCAGTATAATGAATATCTTAAAGACAACAATAACAATCTGTAAGGTAAAAGAAAAGATGGAGTTAAGCCAAAGATGTTTATATATAAAATCTATGCTAAAACTTACAAAAACGTTTCACAATCAGTCATCAGCAGCGATTTAAAAGAAGACCGTGAAAAGGCGGACATTCCAGAGCCGAGGAGCCCTAACTGCAAACTCTCGATCGTCTTTTGTCTATAAGCGTGAGGTGTGCGCTGGTTGACCTCCTTTGCTTATGTGTGGCCTTTTTTTTCTGCTCCTGGATCTGTATGATGTCACAGAGAGCCGATATTTCAAATATGGTCATATGAGGAAAATGCTGTGACTCTTAGAGCTACAATGGCTTTTTTAAGACTGTGGACCAACTAAATAACCTCTCATATGAGGAAAAGTAAGCGTTTTGAAACATTTTCAGTTTTTATTAATTAACCATGTCAGATATTGGAATCTTTAAAACGTTGGCATTTCTGGGTAGAAAATTGTGTTTAGTGATTAATATTCCAAATTGGATGCAGAGTCCTTTTCTCTGCATCTTAAGTGTCAACATGTGGTGTATGAAAATGTAGACTTCACACTCCTGCATCAGCATTTACTAGTTTTTTTTTTTTTTGTCATGATCACTGCATTGTTGACTTGACGGAGCTTCATAAATGCTGCTGCAGGCTTAGGCCAACAGTAACTCCTGCTCTGCTGGTTCAGTCTGATGTATGACTTGCTTTAATGGAAGCTCTGTGACCACAGCATCAGCTTGTCTTGAGTTTTAAATGGAATTGTTTTATATTTGCAGAAAATTCTTAATTCAAAAGAGCCTGTCGCTGGAAGTGTTGCGAATGTCAAAGCTGAATTCTGTAACGACTGCTGTTATCTCTAAAGGGCAACGCTAAAATTTCTTCATGACCTTCTTTAAATTATGAGGAACTGAGGGCACTCTGAGTTAAAGATGACTTGGAGGATGAAGAGTGGTTGACCTGCTAGCCACTGCTCCTGTGTCACTCTTGCTGTGTCACTGATGTGTTTTAAAGCAGCTGATTCATTCTGTCTGTGCTGTCTGTGTGCTTGCAGCTGTTTTCAGATTGTCCACTTTGTTTTGCATTTACAAGAGCATTCTAAAAATAGTTGTCCCTCGCTCACCCCTCATCTTTCTTTCTCTCTCCGTCTGTCTCTCTCTCTCTCTCTCTCGGACAGGAAGTTGTTCTGTTCTTCATTCTAAACACTCGTTTCCTGTTTCACACGTTCTCTTTTAGATTTGGCTTCATGCTCCTCCAGGCTTCTGCCTCTTCCTCTCCATCACTCTCCTCCTCCCTTCAGTAACTCCATGAGCACTATTTGACTTTTAGCTCAGAGCTTTAGTTTTTAGTGGGTAACTTTTTACACAGTGGACTTTATCAGTAAAAGTGACTCAGCACAAGAACTGTTAGAAATTTAGTCCTAGGTGTTAAAATTGTGAATACTCTGCTCTTGTAAGTAAAGTCAGGTCAGTATTTGGAATAAAAAATGAATAGCTGCGCAGCAGGATACATATACCATGCAGTTACATTCTGAAAGTCAGTAAATTCCTTTTGAAGCTGTATTATTTACTGTGAAATGTAGAGGTAGCTGTTCATTAACTTGCCTATGTTGATGATTAGCCACATTGCTAGCAAACTGCACACCTGCCTGTTAGCATTCTTGGTGTTATAGCTGTTTTGCTAAGTAGGCTAGCTAACAAATAAAGCACTTAGTGAAGACCTTAAGATTTACAACACAACTATATTGGCACCCAGAGTTTTAATGTGTTTAGTTCTTTATTGTCTGGAAGCTTTTAAAACAGTGTTTTAAGAAATGTAATATTATGCTGTGCAAGTCACGTTTTTCACCCATTCCTTCATGTAGAAATGGCTAAAAGCTGAAATGTTATAGGGTCATTTTAATATTAATAGTTATGTAGCTGCAAAAGGTGAAAACAAAGTGTCACACAGAAAAGTTAAATTTGCATAGTTTTATTTCCATACTTGCTTTGGATTCTGCTCTAACGTGGAATGGAAAATGAAAGGCCCGGGTCCACCTATACACACATCCATATATTTTTAGTAGACAAAACATCAACTCCAGAGCGACTCCTGCATTCAGTCTACTTCTTAATCAAATTATTGTGTGACTTTTAAGTGGCACCATAGAGTACAGAAACAATCGGTGTGTGTTCATTTTGCTTGATAATGATCTAATCAACTAAAAGAGAATTTTACAACATCCGTTTTGACTCGCTGTTTGGGTTTGACTCCTATTTGTTTAAGAAGTGTTTGAGTGTGCGCAGTCACATGTACTTTTGGATTTGTAATTGTTTCTAAGGCTATTTCACCACATTGGCAAGTTGAATTTATTTAACTGAGCTTAAAAACTTTTATAGTCACCAGTCCGATCATCTTCATCAGTTCTTACTAACTGCTTACAGCTCTCTTCTCTTGGGATGTGTCTTGCCTCCCTCTTTTTAATGCTTTCCTGCAGGATAGTTGCCTGCTCGCTCATAATGTTGATGCTTTTTGTCTTCCTTACATATTCTCTGGTGAATTTTGAATTCTGCAACTTTTCACAGAGTTAAAGTCATGTGACAGCTGGTGTGGCGGCAGGATTCCCGCAGCTGTCTTTATTGCAAACCTGAAATCTGTGTTACAGTTGACCTGTACGGTATGCACAAAACACAAAACATTATTTGCCATCAGATACCAATCTGCCGTGTATTGAGGTAGAACAGTAACAGTGTCATGTGCACATTGTTGTTTTTTCTTTTTTTGTATGCCATGTAATGCTAGGTGTTTATCAAAGTCAGTATTATACATTAAGAAATTCATATATTAATCTAAGATGCTTTTGATTGTTGGGTCCCAGTAACTGCAGCATTTTAACAGATTTTATTTTTTAAATTGTTTTCTTCTCAGATCTATAAACTCAATGAAAATCATTTGTGTTGTTGCACAGCTGCATATCTTCACTTGTGCTCATTTCTGTAATTGGACTAAAACTCTTAAACTTGCAAATCCATTGACTCACTTTAAAAAGGTTTTGATTGTCTTTCAGGGTGTTTATGAGCTCTGAAAAGGAAAATCCTACAAATACACATGTCATGAGGTCAAATGCTTAAATAACAGGACAGATTTACTAATACTTAATAGGAAACCCTCTTCTGGCTTTGTTTTTTTTTGATTCAACGAGGTGCAATGTCTGTTTTACTACTGAAAAGTAGTTGGTTGAGGGATTTGTGCCAGTTGAACTCTTCATTTATTTGCAACCGAGTGGGAAACTGTAACAGGTGGATGGCTCAAAGCTGTGATCTTTCGTCTTATATCTCTTCCCTAAGCCCCTTTCTGCTCTTTAGTAACACTACTTGTGAAACTGAGCAGAAGTAGGGGTTAGGGGTTAGTAGACTCAGTGGAGACCTTCAAAAAGCAGCTAAAGACATTTTTATTTCAAAACGCTTTTAATTAGACCAGAGTTTTTATGATGTATTTATGACTGTATTGTGTTTTTACCTTGTCAAGTACTTTGTGACACATGTCTGTGAAAGGTGCTATATAAATAAACTTTACTTACGTACTTACTTAGAAGTAGAATGTTAAGTTTTTAGTCACCTTTTGGCAGGGAGGTCGGTACATAATTAATCTGTTTTGGTTTTATTTATTTATTTTTGTCAGCAGTGTGCACACAGTGATTTTCATGTAGATTTTTAGCTTAGGTTTTTTTGTGTGTGCTTGTGTGTGTACTCTATATCAGAGCCATATACAGTGGGGCAAAAGAGTATTTAGTCAGCCACCGATTGTGCAAGTTCCCCCACTTAAAATGATGACAGAGGTCAGTAATTTGCACCAGAGGTACACTTCAACTGTGAGAGACAG